TTAAGACTGCCGGGGATGTGTCTAAGCCTTTCACTTCATGGATGTTGGAATCCATGTGTCTAATCTCTACTTGTAATCTAAAGTCCAAGTGAACTGAAGTTTTTCAGATATGCCGTATTCTCTTGTTTCTGGGCTTTTCAGGTGTTGCCTCTCTGCCCTTCACCTGATATGTGCGTATTTTGTTTGCAACCTCAGGTTAAAGGGAACGTCCTCAATTTAGGTTACGCTAACTTGACATGCATTATAGTAGCAAATACTCAATTCTTAGCCAAAAAAATCACATTTTAAATTTCCCTTTTTTTCTCCTTGAAACTATAGTTTCAATGAAGGTAAAAATTTTAGTCTTAATAGGGCTTAGACATAATAAACGTTCAACAAAACAGTAGTAATTGAAGGAATTAACGAATGAATGGTCATCACCTATAAACTCATAAAATGTTGTGTTTTGTTGTTTAATCCTTCCTCTCTTTTACCTCCTTTGGTCTTCCTACCACTAAGAAAGCCATGGTTTGAAAGCTATCAGGAAGTCATTTATTGTGGAAGACATCGCTGGTTGGATTTCCCAGGTTATCGTTCTCAAAATCCTTTAATCTCAGCATTTTCCACTATAGCGACTTATTTTCAGTTTCCCTTGATGTCTGGATGGGTCATGTGACAGGTTCTAGTTAATGACATAAAAGGAGTTTTCTGTGGAAGATCAGGGAAATTTTGCTTTTCTAAAGAAGGGACAGATGTGGTCAGTCCTGTAACCTCCTCCTTCTGCTGTCTTGGGTATAGAGTTGATTTCTCCAGCCTCAGCAGCCGTCTTGACACTGTGAGGTTACAAGCATGAGGGGAAGGTATAAAGAATGACGTTGTCAAGCTGCAGTGCCATAGCTGGCAGCCAACACTCCTCTTGTTAAGAGAGAAAATAAATCACTGTTTGGTTAGTCACTGTAAGTTGTGATTTTCTTTTCTTACTGTTTAATTTGCAGCCGAAAATATTCCTAACAGATACTCTTTGAGTTATACTTAAAACCTAGTGCTAGAATCAACATTGGAGAAGGCTCTTCTGGTTTGGATGCACCCAATGATGGGCTCTTCCCCAAGCCCTAACGCATTGTCCAAGCAGAATAATAATTACCACCTTGGATTTTGTAAAAAGCTAATTTAGAGATTTTCCATTATTTCAGGGGAAAGCAATTACTAATTCACAGAAAAATTGGGTTCAGATTATATATAATTATAGCTTGCTAAAATGTCATTTTGAATTTTTTTGGTTGTAAATAAATGACTTACCTAAAACTCTCAATTCAGCATTTGCATAAATTATCTGGTATTTGTTTTCTGCAGCACATTGGTAGACACCAGAATCTGACACATTCAGCATTGTTATGATAAGTGTCCCATTTTCTATCTGAATTCTCTCCTAATAAAGGAAAAGGCATGTAAAGATGCTAGTATGTTAATGTAGCATTTGCTTAAATGTTATTAAACAACATTTGTGCATATAAGATCTGATAATTTGGTATATTTATATACTGCAAAATCCTGAGCAGCATTCTGAAGTTTAAACAAATGAAAATATGCTTAGTATAATTTTAGTGGTTAGTATATTTTATGTTATCCCATTTATTTGAAAATTGGCATTCTCTGCATAGAATGTATGTTAGCTTTCTGTTTTATGGTATATATGATAATTTTGAACAGACCACCATTCCAAATATTCCAGAAAACATGATTGGCAATAATATTAGACATGAATATCATGATTAGAATATTGCCTTGGCTTACCATCATAAGGTCTCAAAAATATTTGAAATGTGATGACTTGGTAATTTTCTAATTGAGTCCTAAGTTGGAGGAGCTGAATCCTTCCTTTCTGCAGCCTACTGAAGTTTGTGCCTAAACAGCCCAAATCTGTTACAGAATCGCATTGGGGGTATAGAAATACACTTTTGAGTGCACATAATGAAATAGTTAATAGTACAAATTTAACTTGAAACTAAATATTTCAAGGTACCTATTACCATCCTCTAAGGAAAACAAAAGTAGCCTGGAGGAAACAGAATGTTATATGCGAAGGCATGCAGGAGGAAAATTCCACTGAAGCCGAGAGAAAGAACAGCATTATATTCAGCTTCCGAACAACAGATGTTCTTTGTGTCTCTGGCTATGCCTACATGTGCAAAGTAAAATGGAGAAATAACACAATTATCTGGATAATTTAATAGGGGAAAAAAAACCCAGCTCTGTTTCATTTTCTGGATATTGTAAAAGAAAGTATGCTTCACATTGAAAGATGTGGAAAACTGCCTTAGTTCTCCACTTTCCTACAGGTTTAGAGACAGTCATCACTTTTCATAAAAGCAAGATACTGGATAGTGACTAAGAACTTGGATGCTGGTATCAGAGGAACAAAGTTTAGAATACTAATCCTATCATTTACTAGCTACTGTGTGGCCTTAAAAAAATGGCTTAACCTCTTTGAAACTCATTTTCTTCATCTACATAAAGGAATAACAATGGTATCTCCCTCATAGGTTTCTCAAGACGATGCAATAAGATAACATAC